AGTGCTTAAAACAGAGTACCTGACACTTTTAGCGACATAAAAAATCTAGCAATGGCTTTGCTAATAATTTTTTCATCAACATATTTTTGTGAGACTTTGTTCTCAGCATTAAATAATATTAAAACAAACAAAGGAAACCGGCTAACTGATGAAGTTAGTGGCGCTTGCTTGGCCTTGAAGTGCACCAAGTATGAACCTGTAATCGAAGAATTAGCAGACAAACTTCAGCACCAAAAAAGTCACTAATTTCTAGTTTTTGTACCATTTGATTATCATTGTTTTTATTATTATTTTTCCTAAATGTACATTGTTTTTCTGTTTTTGTAAATTTTATACATATTTTTGGTTGATTTTTCTTTGTTAAATGGCATTTAAATATATAAAATAAATATCAAAAATATAAATCTTTTTTTTACTATGGTTGCAAATATCAAAAAAAAATTATGAATATTTCTATATGTGACACGGCACCAGAGTTAAGTTAGGGTTTTTCAAAATTTTGACACGCCGAGCCCAAAAGGTTCGCCATCACTGCTCTAAGGTGACAAAGGGGCTTTACCAGGGCCTTCAGCTTGCCTTTTTCATTGCACTTGTCTCTTTATTTTGTAATTATGTTTGTAGTCTGTTTCCCTAGTAAACTGTGAGTTTTGTTTTATTCAAGTATGTATTCCCAAACCTTGCACAGTGCCTGGTAAGCAACCAGCGATGTTTTTAGAATGAATGTCAGAAAAAGCATTGCCCTCCTTGACTAAAGTCTGGGACCTTCAAGGTTGACATTGGCCCTAAAAAGGCGAGGGAAACAGGTGAAAGAACAGGAACTCTCAGGGCCCAATCGGAGTGCCTTGCCCTGACTGCAGGGTTTGAGAGAGCGTCTTGGAGACGTTACCTGGTAACCAATCTGCAGGAGGAGGGCGGGAAGGGCAGAGAGCGAGCTCCTCGGCGTCCAATCAGGACCCCACATCCCGGGAGCACCGCCGCCTTGGACTAAGCAGCTGCCGTAAAGTGGTTCCCTCAGCACGACTGTGGTCCCATCTACGA